ACTGTACCTCTAACTCATACTATTCTCTTTTAGAGCTAATTCTTTTTATCAGTATATAGAACACTTCATAATCCAGAGTTTGACTCTTTCTTAAAGAGACCTATTTTGCTAACTGCTGAAAGATACGCACATTTTGTAGTTTGATTGCATGCATTCCAAATATCTTCCAGCATGTGAAAGGGAGTGCACATAATGTGGTGTCATTCCTTTAAGTTATAGATACTGACGCTGCTTATAAAGGTTTTACTTGAAAACAAAAAATTATACTCTTTGGGGAGAGTGTGAGCCCTGTTCATGTGTTGTGTGTCCGGGGTGTTTGTGTCCATGTGAAATTAAGTGGGAAATTGTAAGCCCCTCCTGGAGAGATGCTATGTCTTTGCTTCTTCAGTCCACAGTGAAATGAAGGTTTAATGAAACCTTGTTGATGAAAAGTGCATTGTGCTCTTGATGTGCTCGGACTGATTCCTCAAAATGACAAAGTCTGGGCACTGATCCAGGAGCACAAACCTCTCTCACACTCCCTTCAAGCTGGCAGCAGGAGCTGAGCAATCTTGCTGAGCTCAGCCTGCTTCTGTGTGCTTGTACATAGTAATTCATGTAATACCCACAAGAAGTCTCTGAGGTCAATAAGATCCATAATTCCATTTACTAGATGGGCAAGTGGAGGCACAGAGAGGTGAAACCACAAGCCCAGAGGATCGGAGCCAGGATCCACACCTAGGTAGTCTGACTCCTGGGCTCCTAAGTACTATGCTAGGCTAAATTTTAAAATAATGTAAGAATAAGAGGTATCATTCATTTATATTGTTATTTATTACTCTAATAGCAGCAGCTAACATTTCTGTAAGTCAAGCTCTGTGCTAAGCATTGTACAATCATATTTTGTTTATTCTTCCCAACAGCCTGTGCATGTGCGTCCTGGCCTTATCTTCATTTAAGGCTGAAGATCAGAGAGGTTTAGCAGCTTACTCAAGGTCACAGAGCAAGCAAACTGTGAGGCTGTGACTGGAGACTCCAAAGCCCTCACCTGCTTTCACTTACTGCACAGGAGGATTCATGTCACCAACTCACCGATAGCTTGTCTCACAGTGAGACAACTTGAAAGGGCCAGTGCCTGCCCCTTAGCAAGTGTTCAAGTACCTCTGAGTGAAGGTAACTGGAGTGACAAGCACATTAAGAGGTAGCAGAGCCCAGCCAGCTTGGCTCAATGGTTGAGAATCGACCTATGAACCAGGAGGTTCTGGTTGGATTCCTGGTCAGGGCACATGCCCTGATTGTAGGCCCGATCCCCAGTGAGGGGTGTGCAGGAAGCAGCAGATCAGTGATTCTCATCATTGATGTTTCTGTTTCTCTCTCCCTCTTCCTTCCTCTCTGAAATCAACAAATATATGTGCATATATATTTTTAAAAGAGGTAACAGAGTCACTGAATTTTAGTTTTGATAACCCGCAGATTTGTCTTATGAAATAGCTGACTGAGGATACCGTGGTGGGTGAGAAAGCCAGGGTGCCCCTGAATCAGCAAGGCTCAGCAAAACCACAGCCAGGAACCACCAAGTTTCACTAAGTCTATTCATAGCACAAGCAGAGCAAAAAGGAAATCCTAACAAGACAGCCAGCCCCTCCGAGCAGTGGCCTACACACCTGTCACCCGGGGTCTGGTGTCTCTCTGTCCCTCTCCAGCTACAGTCACCACCAGAAATGACTTAACTGCTTCGGGCCCCATGGGCTCCTCCTTCTAAAGCCATAATGGAATGCCCCATCTATGTTATATCATTATTTACATCATCATCATCATTATCATCAACATCATTTACTACTCTATTATTACTCTATTAAGGAAGTTCAGAGAAAATAATCTAATGGAAATGCTTTGAAGAGCTTAAGTTATAAAAAAAAGGGCATTGTTTTGATCACATTGACCATAAAGGTTTACCATGAAGGGAAATCATTTTTGCTCTCTTTTGCCAGTGTCTGCTTTGGAATCCTGGAATATTTTTAACTAAGTTTTATAGAAAGTTCCATACCTGCATATTTACAAACTCTGCCATACATTTTAAGATAAACTATATTTTGAAGTGAACATTGATTTTATTTATATAACCTCCACTAAAGGAAAAATATTATTAATAGCCTAGGAGCAATAAGTTTGGACTCTGAGCTCTTGGGTTCAAATCCCAGCTGATTTTTACTAGGGAAGTGACCTTGGATATGACACTTAACCTTTCCCTGCCACATTTTTCTCATCCAAAAAATGGAGACAATGATAGTATAGAGGTTGTTATGGAGATTAAATAAAATGGATTTGTCAGAGTGTCCAATACAGAGTTAGCAATCAACAAATATTATCAGTTTTCATTTTCTTAAAAGGAAAACAACAATAGGAACATACAGGGTGGGGCAAAAGTAAGCTTACAATTGTGAGTACATGAAACACAGAGGTTATTCTTGTATAATTATTTATTGTATTATTTTTCATATGAACAACTGTAAATCTACTTTTGCGCCTCCCCCCCCCCCTGTATTTTGCAAGACCTTCTTTCACAAATGTTAGAGGATCCTAAAATAATATTGAAAAATACTTGAAAAGATGAACTATGAACAAAAGCAGCAATGCATTTTTTAATGTTATTTTTAAGTACCTCAAAGTTACAAAATAATAATAGTACATGCTGAGATTCATGGAAAAGATGTCCAGGAAAACAAGAAAAATGCATGAATTACACTAAACAAAACTGATCAAATAAGTAAATTATGCCATTAATTCCCAAGAGTCTAAAATTTGTTCCATGCATGATCCAGCAGCCAAAAGCAGAAGCCAAGCTTTGCGAGGTGTCAGCCAGTTCATGCAAGGTTAAGTACTTACTAAATTACTTTTCCTAGTGTTAATTTCACAAGCAGTTTGAAGAAATAAATTTACTTGGAAACTGAGATGGTGAATACTAATGACTGGAGAGCCAACTGCACACAGAGGAAGTATAGCAATACTGATCAATCTAGCCAGGCATCAAAGAATTTATTCATACTTTTCCGCAAATGTTTACCATCTACAACTGGCAAGGCACATGTGAAACCATAACTGTACTTGCAAGTGATAAGAGCTCAATAAACTTTTGTTGAATAATTAATGAATTAATAAATAGCCTGAAGGCTAGTCCAGAGACACACACACACAGTTCAGTCAGTGTGAATGGCATAGGATATAAGGAGCTAGAGTAAGTCTTTTTTCTAGAAGCTATGACAACTCTCTTTTAATTTTCTTATTTTATACCATCATACCCATCCTATTGGCAAGAATAGTTCTGTATCAGACATTTTCAATAATTGCTAATCTCAATTCCTTCAGTATGGTTACCCAGATCCCAAGAGAAGAGTGTCACAGAACCCCTGGCTTCCTTCCTTGGAAATGACATGTATGCTTTTGACAACATGGAATCTTATAGCTTGAAGGGACCAAGATGATAATCTAAATACCCAACATGTGCTAGGATTGTCCTAAAGGAACTAAGAAAGTAAAAGAAAACATCAACAAAACATACAGACACACTCAGGTAGACACTGGAGGTGTTATGGGGTCCCTTCAAATTCATGTGACTCAGAGAGATTAATGTTTTTCTATTCTTCAATATTGGAAGCAGATGACAGGCAAACTAGTACATCTTGGGCATTAAGTGGTTGGACAATCCTAGCTTGAGAAATAGAGGTGAACAGAACTGGAACAGAAGCAGGACATAGGAGGTTCATAGGTAGCCACCACTTCCGTGTTAACATCCGAAATGGTTTTCATCAGTGGGATCTAATGACATACCAGAATTACTTAGCTAAATACTTAAGTATTTGACACAACTTATTCTATTAATCCCCACACAGAATTACATATCTAAGAGGTGGGTGCTATCATGACTTCCATGTCATAAAAGAGGACCCTGAGGTTTACAAAGGTAAGGTAACAGGGCTAGAACTTAGTCCTTTCTGGCTTCTAACCATTATGCTACTTAATCTGACCACCCGGGCCCTCTCCCCCATGCACCAACCCACCCATCACAGAGTAAGCTCTTTTTTGTGATAAATACATATGTTCAACTCCCTGAAACCTTGAAAGGTAAACAGAGTTAAAGTGGAGGTGTGGGAGTACCTGCACTTCTTTTTTTAATGGATACCCGGAGGATGGGGGTAGTGGGGGACAAAAACAAGGAAGGTAGGATGGACTAGGAACCATAGAAATAGCAGATCAACTCAGAGATGACTGGGGAGATTCAAGATCCACCAATCTGCTGAAACCAGTTTGGCTCAGTGGATAGGGCATTAGTCTGTGGACTGAAAGATCCCAGGTTCGATTCCGGTTAAGGGCATGTACATTGGTTGCAGGCACATCCCCAGTAGGAGGTGTGCAGGAGGCAGCTGGTCGATGTTTCTCTCTCATTGACGTTTTTAACTCTCTATCCCTCTCCCTTTCTCTTTGTGGAAAATCAATAAAATATATTACAAAAAAAATAAAGACGCACCAATCAAATACTCCTGGGCTACAGTATATTCATCTCTCAAAATACTGAGAGATTCTTCCTCTATCTGAAATTCTCTCACTACTCATTTCTCGACCTGAAACTTCCACTGCACTTGACACCGCATCTCTAGCCATTTACAAGACTAAACCTCCAAGTTACACAACAGTATTTTAAAGAGAGAATGGGGAGCTGCATCTTCTGATTGTACACATCAAGCTCCAACCTTCTGTTTTTACTTCTGAGATTTTGTTAAACCAACTTAAATGAAGAAAACACTATTTAAATAAATTCTTTGCTAAGAATCTTAGGAAAGTGACGTAATTTCTGGCAAAGAGAAAAGCAAGCGAGTGAGAGAGTTTTCTCATTATTAAAGGAACAGTTATGTAACCATCCCACATGGAAGAGCCAGGCTGCAGTCAAAATGATAAAAGACTAAAATAGCCTTGCTTCTCTCCAAAAGTTAAGGTTTCAGTGGGGGATTTCACGTGTAACATACTTCTCATATAGCCTCTGTCCTCTCATGAAGGCCTTCACTTCGTTGTCCAATGGGAAGGTGCCGTCATCCTTTCTGAAGCGGTAGAAGAGTTTGACATCCTTGAATTCCTTGTGCTCATCACACACTGAAACACAATATACAGAGAGGGACAAATAAGAAAAAAAATAATTCTTATTTATTTACTCAAATGAATTATAATGATAATTAAGACTTGTTTTAATACCAAATTTCTCAAGCATGCTACTCTATGAGTTAATACCTGTAGAGTATTTAGTGAGATACCTGGGACAGAATAAGTGCTCAGTATTATTAGCTATTATATCATCATCATCATTACTATTAAAAAGGTCACACACAAAAAACAAACAACAAAAAAGGGCAACAAAATTCAATTCATCATTCATTCCACAAGTTCTGCTTGAGCATAATATCGGGGGAGGCATCAATCATAAAGAATATGAAATCTAGTGAGAGAAAGAGAAATGTCAACATGTAATTAAAATCGGATGTGATAAGATTATGAAGGAGGTGAGGAGATACGGGGGCCCAAAGGAAGAGTACCCAGTACCCCAGTAACCTAGCTTTGGGGACTGGATGCTTCTCTGAAGAGTTTGCATCAATGAGTAGCAATTAAGCAAAAATGAAGAGAAAGGGAATTCTCGCCCAAGAGAATACCAGCATGTGCAAGATCTTGGCCAGAGTTAGCGATTTTAAGGAGACATGTTCATGAATATTCATTGCACCATTGAGAGTAACAGCAAAAGAAAGTTAGAAAGAACCTCAATGTCCATGGTTAAATGCATAATGGCACAATTATACATGGGATACATAGCAGTGGAAATAAGAAAGCAGGAGATACACTATCAGTATAGATGAGCCTTCCCAAAAGCACATTGATCAAGCTGCAAAAGAATAAATATGCATCTCTATAATGATTTAAAAACAATATGATATGTTACAAAAAGATGCACATACTGAAGGAAAAAGTATTAAAAAAAAAAAAAGAAGTCAAAATGCCTCTTAGAGGGAGGAAGGAAATGAAGCTGGGGAAAGGTACACAGGAGGCAATTAAAGTCAAATGTATTTCGTAAATGGGTAGGTTCATATCTGGAATAAAGACATAGTCCTTTGTTTCTTCTTAAGTGTCACTTCACTCACCATGATGAATGATGCCCCGATCTGCTAATTTCTGCATGAGTTTAATTGCTGTCTCTCGGTCAGAAGCCTCTTTGTGCTCAATCAGCCAGTCAATCAGTTCTTTTGCGACGAAACAGTTTGGGTAGGTTTTGAGATGATGCCGTCTATCTTTAATAACCTTTTCCTCATGCAACCTGAGCCTGGAAAGAAAATTTGGCATTCATTTTAGAAATGTTGATGACAACACAAATTATTAAACCCATCCCAGAGAGCAGTGACAGGATGGAAGCTCTAAAGGTACCAGAGTGCCATTCAACTATTTCAGTGTCAGTGAGTGACTTCACACTGTCCAGCCCTGAGGCCCTAGGGAGTGACTCCATCCCCAGATCTACAAGTGATACAGGTGAATGGAAGGGAAATACAACCACACAACCTAGAGCTCTCCTGCCACTCAAGAGGCTGATAAAAGCTCTCCCACAGCCTCACTCCCTTCTGTTTATCTCTTCACCAGGGGCTTACGGCTTCAACCAGCCAATCAACAAAAACTCTGGAGACTTGCTGAAACTGTGTACTTTCTTTTCATTGCAGATTGCTCAGTGTCCACCATATATGCTTTCTCAGTCATAGAACAAATATGAATTTATGACAATATGTCTATTACCTGCCCGTTAGGCACTTCAGGGCATTAGAGACATTCATCAGAAAATACACAGATTCTTGCTTCTATGGGCCTTGTTTTCTATTCAGGCAACAGTTAATCCTTTCATGAGGTTTATTAGGTTCCATGTGTTGACTTGAGCACTTTATATAGATTGACTTAATATTCACAATAACAATCTAATCAGAAGTTATTGCTATCCTTTTTCCTCCCTCTCTCTCTTTCTCCTTCCTTCCTTCCTTCCTTCCTTCCTTCCTTCCTTCCTTCCTTCCTTCCTTCCTTCCTTCTTTCCTTCCTTCCTTCCTTCCTTCCTTCCTTCCTTCCTTCCTTCCTTCCTTCCTTCCTTCCTTCCTTCCTTCCTTCCTTCTTTCCTTCCAGCAGAAAGAACTGAAGTCTCAGAGACTTGCCTAAGGCCACTTGTCTAACTAAGATTTGGACCCTGATGACCTCATTTCAGAGTCCAGCTTTTCAAAGGGCACATCATGCTGCCTCTAGCTGGGGAGGAGTAATCAAAAATCCAGCAGAAGGATTAGAGCTGCTGAATAAATACAATTTGTATAGGCTGATGGATGAGTGTGGTGGTAAGGGGTTGACACAGAGCATTCCTATTTTCTTCAGAACTCAGTAACTTTTTTCCAAACATTTTAAACCAGTCTTGAGGGGGGGAAAGTTTCTCCCATTTATCTTCCCTTCTTTGATCAACCTTGCATTTTTTTTAATTCTCAAGGGAAGGGCCTGAGTTGGGTGAGCCATGAGATCGCTTTCCTCCTACTTCGCCCACATGGCTCCTGTACTCTTCTCATAGATCCTCAACATTGCTGAGAAAGAGGAATGCCGCATGAGAAAATCACATAGTAACTGCGTGACCTGGGCAAGTACCGTAGTGTAATGTCTCTTCCCCTCTCTGTAAAAATAAAGGCAGTTATGGAGGGTACTAGCTAGTTGAGATTTGGGGATATAATGTCTGGGAAGCACCAGCGACCCAGCATAGCACCTGACACACTGCAGGTCTCACCCTCCTTCCTCCCCCTCCCTAAGGAAGGAACTGGACCATACTCTCACTGGTTGTTGTTTTTTTTAACAGAGTGTATTAAGTGATATTTAATGGGTTTTGCTATCCCAACGGTCATGATTAGGAGTTAGGAGCATACTGGGCTGGAGCTCTGAGACTCAGTTGCTCTTCCTTACTAGACACTGTTATAAGCAGTGGTCCCCTAAAATTCAAATGTTGAGGCCCTAAGTCCTGGTACCCCAGAATGTAGCTGTATTTGGAGATAGAGTCTTTTAAAAGGCAATTAAATTACAATGAGGTCAATAGGCCGGGCCCTAATCCAATATGATTGGTGTCCTTATCAGGAGAGGAGATGAAAGACATGCACAGGAAGACATAAAGAAGGAGGCCATCTATAAGTCAAAAAGAAGCCTTAGGAAAACCAACCCTGCCAATGTCTTTAAAAATTTTTTAATTTGACGAGAGAGAGAGAGAGAGAGAGAAAGAGAGAGAGAGAGAGAGAGAGAGAGAGAGAGAGAGAGAGAGAGAGAGAGAGAAAGAAGAGAAGAGAAGAGAAGAGAAGAGAAGAGAAGAGAAGAGAAGAGAAGAGAAGAGAAGAGAAGAGAGAGACATCAACTTGTTGCATCTCTTATTTCTGCATTCGTTGTTTGCATCTTGTATGTGGCCTGACTGAGGATTGAACAAAGAACCTGGGTGTATTGGGACAATGGCTTTAACCAATTGAGCTGCTGGGCCAGGGCTCTGCTAATACCTTGATCTCAGCTTTCTAGCTTCCAGAACTGTGAGAGAATAAACTTGAGCTGTTTAAGCCACTAAGCCACTCAATCTATGACACTTTGTTAGGCAGCCTGAGCTGACTAAGACAGCCAATTGTGGAAGACAGGAGGCTCCTGAGTAGCCTGGGGATGAGGGGCTCCACTGGGGCATCAGCAGCGGGGAGGGGAGATATCTGTTAACAGCAGAGAAAGACAAGAACCATTTTAATGCAGTTGCTACCACCTATGCCCAGGATTGTACTAGGCATTTTCACAATGCTGACTTCACTGCCATTGGCCTGATGTCCGCATCCCCCCAACATTCCTGGGTTGAAATATTGAACCCCAAATGTCTAACCACTATGCTGTGCACCTGAAGTTAATATAATATTGAACATCAACAGTAATTTAAAATTTGAAAATAAAATTTTTAAATTAATTTTAAAAATAAAGAAATACTAAACCCCAAAATGTCAGTTATGAGGACATTCAGGAGCGTAGGACTAGGGCTATGAAGACACCGCTGTAGTTCTGACTCTGCTTGTGTTGCCAGGTGATCAAACTTCTGAGCATGAGAGCCCCATGGTAAAAGGGCATCTGCCCAATCACACTGTCACAACGCTCACTAACAGGATCCAGTTAGCATTTGAGCGCTGAGCATGTGCCAGGCACTGCTTTAATGGCTTTATTGGTATTAATCCTCATGCCAATTCCCAAGGCAGGTCATGTAAAAACCACAAATGATACCCATGTAAAGATGTAATTATTAGTAAAAAATAAATGAGCCCTAATTAAAACAAAAACAAAACAAACAAAAAAACATGTTCACAGAGGCACTAAAGTCCTCACACGAATCCTTCTAATGAATTCAGTGACAATGACTTAACAGACTCAAAGTGGCAGAATGCGAAACATTAATTCTTAGATGTGATGTCTGCCAGGAATTCAAGAATAATGAAGACTGATTTACTGAGAAGTTGAAATGTGGGATAAGCTACCATATAATTTGGTAGATGGAGAGATGGGTTATGAGCCAAAAGAGGAGTTTTAGCTCCTATAAACTTTCCAGCTTTAAAAAATCTATATTATAGCCGAGACCAGTTTGGCTCAGTGGATAGAGCGTCGGCCTGCAGACTGAAAGGTTTGGGTTCGATTCCAGTCAGGGGCATGTACCTTGGTTGTGGGCACATCCCCAGTGGGGGGTGTGCAGGAGGCAGCTGATCGATGTCTCTCTCTCATCGATGTTTCTGGCTCTCTATCCCTCTCTCTTCCTCTCTGTGGGAACTCAATAAAATAAAAATAAAAATGAAAATAAATAAAAATATAAAATCTACATTATATATGAGATAATGTTTATCTTTAAATACTCCAGAACAGAACCTTTCAGTTACTACCCTTTGACCAAACCCAAGCTTGGTTCTTATTCTTGAGCATATCTGACTCCCGCCCTGCTCTGGAAAGAAAGCACTAGATAGCATCAGCCCGTCAGGGCCTGGTACATTTCCATGTTTAGAAAACTGAGCAGAAAAATGATGGAGGGAAAAGAACTCTGGATCAGGGAGGTGGCATGAAACTTGATATTTTTAGACATGTTACCTGGAGTAAAAAATGCCCAATAACTGTGCTATCACCTTTGTTTTCTTCTCCTTTTATACTTAGAAACACAGAATTCTAAAAGTGAGCCCTGAGCTCTAGCTGGGTGGCTCAGTTGGCTGGAACACCATCTGTACACCAAAATGTTGTGGGTTCGATTCCCAGTCAAAGTTCAATCAATCCCTGGTTGGAGTGAGAACAGGAAACAACTAATTGATGTGTCTCTCTTCCACTCTCTGTCTCTCTCTCTCTCAAATTAATAATAAAAAATATATATCCTCAAGTGAGGAAAATAAAGAAGAGTATTGAAAATTATACATTCCAGAAAAAGTAGCTCAATAAAAAGGTAAGAATTTTTACACTGCTAACACATAATTAAGTGGCACCAAGGGTCCTTAATAAATATTTGGTGAACAAATGAATGGACAAGGGCACTCATAGAAATTACGCCATTTTTTCAAAATGGTAAGGAGGTTTCTCACTAACTTAGTAGGAGTACCTGTCTCATAACTTAGTAACCATCAACTTTCATGAAATTTATCTAAATCTTTTAAAAAATGATTCATGTTTTGACTTTTAGGGTAATCACTTTGTGGAATTTTAAACGTGTGTGTGTGTGTGTGTGTGTGTGTGTGTGTGTGTGTGTGTGTGTTTAAAAAAGCACTTCTTTTTGCTTAAACTAAACTTACCGCTTATAACTATATAGCTTTTCATATACTGATACTCATGAAGATCTCCAAGAAGGAGACAGAATTAGAAATATTTTCATGTTTCATTGAAAAACAACAATTTTACATAGCTCCAGGAGCATAAGGCTCTACCCAAGTGTAGTGGCAGTGATTAGCTAAGCCAAGCAGAATGGCTCCCTCTGAGATTTAAACTAGAGTGCAGTTTCCAACCTCTCATGAAATCGAATTCTCTAGAAAGATTGCAAAATGCTGTGCTTGGAGCTAAAAGCCATACTTTTAAACCCAGCATTTTACCTGGACATGTCAGTCACATTGTCTGCCGTGTCCAACATCCCCTTTGTGTTAAACTGCTTTTCACTTCTTACCCACCCAACCAGGGTTCAAACCCCTACCTGTTTTCTCTGCATGGGGCACCCCTGCCCATGCCCACTGGGATGTCAACAGGGAGACCAGGAGCATAAGGCTGTATCCAAGTGAAGTGTGTGATTAGCTA